GATACAAGTGTTGTTATTGATAAGAGTGTTGGTTTTGATATGAGTGTTATTTTTGATATGAGTGTTGTTACTGATACTAGTGTTGGTTTTGATACGAGTGTTGGTTTTGATACGAGTGTTGGTTTTTAATACAAGTGTTATTTTTGATATGAGTATTGGTTTTGATACGAGTGTTGTTATTGATATGAGTGTTGGTTTTGATACGAGTGTCGGTTTTGATACAAGTGTTGTTATTGATATGAGTGTTTTTTTTTATATGAGTGTTGGTTTTGATACGACTGTTGGTTCAGCTAAAAATAACCTAATATTAGCTAACCTATGGCAATGTTAATGTTAAGAATAAACTAATTTTAGCTAAAAATAATCTAATTTTGGCTAACCCAATCTGAACATCAGCTAAGAATAATCTAATTTTTTGCTAATCCTATCTGAACATCAGCTAAGAACAGCATAATTTTAGCAAACCCGATCTAAAAGTTAGCTGTAAGAATAGCCTAATTTTAGCTAACCTTATATGAATTTTAGCTAGGAATAAATTAATTTTGGCCAACCTTATCAGAACAAGCAAAAAAATTAATTTTAGCTAACCCTTTCCGAATATTAGCTTAGAGTAAACTAATTTTAGCTAAACCTATCAGAATGTTAATTGAAAATAACATACTTTTAGCTATCCCTATCTGAAAGTCAGTCAAAAATAAACTAATTTTAGCTAACCCAATATTAAAAAGCTAAGAATAACTTAATTTTAGCTAACTCTATCTGAATATTAGTAAAGATGAAGAATAACTAAATCTTAGCTAAATCTATATCTGAACATTAGTTAAGATGATGAAAAACTTAACTTTAGCTAACTCTATCTGATCATCAGCAAAGAATTACCAGACTTTATCTAGGATCAAACAAAAATTAGCTAGCACTATCTCAACATTAGCTAAGAATAAACTAATTTTACTTTACCAAACCCTATCAGAGCATCATCTTAGAAAAAACTAATTTTAGCTAACCCTCTGAATATTAACTAAGAATAAACTAATTTTAGCTAATCCTATCTAAATATTAGCTAACAATAATCTAATTTTAGTGTTTTTTGCGAAAATCCTAATATTCATCTGAATCCAATAAAGCTGTTAGAAATTTTTAGATTATTTTTTGTGTGTTTTTGTGCTGAGAGGATTGTTTAGTGAAAATCAAAAAAAAATGTTGATTTACAGGGACACCCTACTGAATATGTTAGAAATTCAATTTTTTAAAAAACTTTTCTGGAATAAGTATGAGCTCAAATATAGTGAGAACCAGAAAACTCTGGTATAGGGAGATAGTCCCAAGAAACACATCGGAACCCCTTCCAACTGGGTTCTCTCAAAACTCCTGATCCCTCAAAAAGCCATACCTATTCTTGAATCCGTCATTCTTATAACATAAACATAAAATATAAAATGAAGTTTCTCAAAAGCCCATATTGATTCTTACCCGAAATACAGAAAGGTCGATTTCTTTCTCAGTTTATAAAGATAAAAATTTCCCTATAAGATAATCGAAGGATTGTAGTATTGGTTTTGGTGAATTATATTGAAATACTATTGAAATCATTCCATAAACCTTCAAAAAGTTTAATTTTTAACAAAACCTTTAGTTCTGGGCAATTGCACATATTTATATAAAACTTTCTTAAACCGCCATGTTTTTTCTTAATTCATTAAGTTAAGAGTTTAAATCATAATAAGTATTGATAAATATTGCTTTAAATCAAGTCCTTAAACATATTGATGTAAAACCTTTCAGAAAGTAGGAAGGATTCTGCAAAAAAAAAATTTGAAACCAAATAGAATTTTTATTTTGAACAAAAATATTTAGTATTTGTATAGAAGCATTTCTGGGTATCACCTTAGTCTACTTTTGCATTATTTTTATTCATATAAAACAGTAAAAAAGAGATTCTGTTAATGGCATAAAACTAAACCTAGCTAATCAATCATTGCAGGGAGGGATGGCAAAAACACCAATTTGTTATTTACAAATCTGCTTATGGAAGAAGTATATTTTCTTTATAGTTTTGTACTATTTTCATAAACGAAAAAGCTGGTTTTAATACTAATCAGCTGATCTCCTAATGTAGGGAGGAATGGCAACCATTCCAATTTGTAATCCCCTGGAGGATACTGCTGGGTACTGTGGAGTACTGTGAGGTGCTGTAGGGCGCTGCGGGGTACTGTGTGGTACTGTGGAGTACTGTGAGGTAGGGTTTCCAACGAAATTCCGAATTAGGGTTTACATACGGAAATGATCCGGAAATTTTTTCCATTTCCATTATGGAAAAGGTTCCGGAAAACCGGAATTCCGGTACGATTTCCGGAACGATTTTTTTTCCTTAAAACAGAAATTTCTGGAACGTTGTTCCAGAATTACGGATCGTTACGGAATTCTGGAACGTTCCAGAAATATCCGGAACGTTCCGGAATATCGTTCCAGAAATTTTCCCGAAAAATCGTTCCGGAAATTTCCGGTTTCCAGAACATTTGGTACCAGAATTACATTAAAGTCTTACATATGTAAGGAAATTTTTCCGATTTACGCAATGGAAACTGGAAATTTTACGGTTTCCATTCCGTAAAACGAAAATTTCCGGTTTCATTTTATACCGGAATTATCCCAGAATTCCGGATTACGCAACAAATTTCAGGATCATTCCATTTCCAAAAATGGATTTTTTTTCCAGAAAAAGGGAAACCCTACTGTGAGGTGCTGTAGGGCGCTGTGGTACTGTGGGGTACTGTGGGAGTACTTTGGGGTACTGTAGAGTACTGCAGGGTAATGCATGGTACTGCTTATTGCTGCTAGTTACAATACATCTGGGGGGTACTAGGTGGTACTAAAAGTATTTGAGGGTATTGCTGGGTACTGGGGAGTAGTACAGGATACTGCTTGGTACTTTGGAGTGCTGTGGGGTACTCAGGGTACTGCTTGGTACTGCCGGATATTACTGTGGGGTACTGGGGATACTAACAGGTGCTGGGGGGGGGGGGGGTTACGACAAGTATAGGGGGCTACCTTGGGAAACTGCAGGATGCTGGAGTTTACTGCTGGGTATCCTGCAGTATGCGCAGTTATTCAGTACTCTGCAGTGCCCTGCAGGGCAGAATAGTACTGAATGGACTGCAGGGCACAAAAGGGTTCACAGACAGCAGGGTACAGGATACCAGTGGCCGAATTTAAAGAATTTGAGCAGCGGTTTAAATTTAAGCCGCGGCTTAAATATGGTTGGTTCCACTTAAAAGTGTATCAAATGTTTCCAGATTTTAGCCAGCGCTAAATTTAAACCGGGTTTTGGCGGATTTTGGCGGATTTAAACCGCGGCTCAAATTCTTTAAATTCCATCTCTGGTTGCCTTTTCTAAAATAGTTGTGTTTGATTTTTTCAACATTTATTCCATAAAAAAATTAAAAAATTGAATAAATATTCTAGCCGTCACAGGGCTAAAAATAATTATTTTCAATAAAATGTACAGACACACCTGGTGGGAAACATCTTGTCAATAGAAGTTGTCAAAGTTGACTTTTAAAGTCGAGTTTAAGTCTGCTACTTAAAGTGACTTTTTAAATTAATCTGGGATGAAAATGTCAAATTGACTAGTTACCAAAAGAAAGAGTGGAACTTTTTCCACTCGAGTAACAGAGTAACCTAAACATGAACTTTCCAACACGGATTCTAATATGCAAAAAATTATCCTCATGTTGATACCATGCTAATTTTTCAGACTCGTAAATCCTATAAACCAATGATTTGGTTCTAAAATCTTATTAACTATATAAACTGCTTTGATACTATAGCCCATATATATTTATAAATCATCTTTCGTAATCTTAAAACAATGTGAATTATACATGTAAATCCTGTAAGAACATTTATCCCTACGAAAATAAAAAACATTTTGTTTAAAAAAAAAGTTGACATTTATCTGACATATTATAGTGGACTTTACAGTCGGCTTTTTCTGAACTAGTATTTCTTTTTCTTCCCAGTTCTGTTCACTGGGTGCATTGCACATTTGTACTGAATACGTTGAACGGTGTTAACGAATGTGAAAAAGCAGCCTAAGTTGTCGTCTTCCATCAACAATTAACAAATAAGGAGAGGATAGAGTAGAGAATTATACACAGTAAAATTGCGCATTGATTCACACACATCGTGGAGTCATTATCATCGTGGTATTGGAAAAGTACAGCCGCCCACCCTCCTTCCATTCTCTATGTCTATCATTCAGAAGAGGGTTTAACACCATCTCTTCTCTCTGGGTCCTCAAGGGAGCTGCCAACAGGGCCGGTCAACCAAACTGTCCGGCCCGGATGGCTGCTTAAGGTGAAGGTCATAAAGGTTGACTGTACCAGCCATGCCGGTCTGCAGGTCATATCAGTAGACCTGGAGACCAGGGCGTTGGGCCGGTCAGAACGGATTAACCAGCAAGCTCTTGAAAGTTAGATACTTTCAGGCGGGCTGACAAAGCAGCCACAGCTTGCTGGTCAGTATAGATTACAGGAGGACCTTACAGGTTGCAGAGTAGGATTACCCTTCTTGGTTAGCCAGAAATAGTCACATACAGGCTTTTGAGAAGGGAGGACAGAGAACCTGAACCTTTGAAATTCAGGAAGACAACAAAAAGGTAGGGCTTTTTCAAGAAGATTAAGCACAACATTTATTTTACAGCTTTTTTAGGTTTTTCTTTCCTCGAATATGTTTTCTTCAGGACTTTGATTCCTGATATCTCTTGTCCTGAGAAAAAGTCCCAGGAGTCCAAAACGTTTTCTAGTGACATTTTGTCCTTGGACTTTTATACTAAAGTTCTTATTTACTTTTTTTAATCACTTTGGCTAACACAGTAGAAAAGCTCAAGTCTGTTTTGTGGAGAAATCACAACTGAAAAAAATTAGTTTTTAAAATTGCAAAAATTTATTACTACTTTTCATACTTTTGATTGCAAACAAATCAATTCAAAATACTTAAAATCATTTTTATTTATTTATTCAATATATTTACCATACAAAAATATTAGTAGAGATTAATATATAAATAAAGCCTATTATTTAAATGTTCTGACAATTTTTGATCCCCTTTATGGTTGAATCTTAGATTCTGACCACCTCCTTAGATCATTTTTATTCATCTCTCGGTGGATTTTCAGTAAATCCAATATCCATAGATTTCAACTTAAATTCTGTGAGATTCATTAAAACTGGTTCTATTTTCAACAGTCCCAAATAGTAGTCATGCAGCAGAAACCATCTGAAATAGTAATTACATAAATTAAAATCTAAATTGGTTGCTATGACTTTTCTGCTATTTGTAATAAAACAAAGTGTTACATTCAAATTAAAACTCTTTGTGAAATAAATTGTGCATACTGTCAGTTCTGTCAGTAGTCCTTCTTTCTGAGTTTCTAAATATATATAATTATGTGACTATTAACTGTACGGCTGTAACCAGGGGGATGATAGTTCTCTACCTGTGTGCTTAGTTAGCTGTACTGTACACTTACAACTGTTTACCAGGGGGGATGATAGTTCTCTACCTGTGTGCTCAGTTAGCTGTAATGTACAACTGTTTTCTAATATTAATATACTATAGGTTAGGCCAGAATTAACTTAAAATAAATAAATATGCAGTACCCTCTCAGTATAGTTTATGGCCTATTAAATTAGCAAAGGATTAGCGTACATCATCACTCTATACACTATAACCTGGTTGGCTGTAACCTTCTGCATTACATTGGATTTTCTATTCTGACATTTGATTGTCCAATATAGCAATAATAATAATATTTAAAAAGGTGTTAAATTTTAGATTGAGTAAAGATAATTTAAAAAAAAAGAACGAATAACTATATTAATATTAACTAAAATAATAGAAATGGCTGGTTTTCTTGCAACGTGCTATGCTTATTTTAAGAGAAATTATCGATGAATAAATCCTTTAAGAATGGGGTTATATCCTATTTTCTAAAAACTTCTCCTAGGAGTTCTAGGACATGTTTAAAAAGTAAAATTTTAACGCAATGAAAAATATTCGCCTCAAATAATGTTTTAAAACATGTGATTTGCTTTTTCAGGTTCTCACTTTACTATTATTAGCATTTGTTTTTATCTTTCGGACTATAAAACCTTTTTTTCCACATCCATATTTGATTTGTGGGAATATTAAAATATTCTTAATTGTGTTCATAACATGAGGCAAGAAAATATTTCACCTCACTTTCTAAAGATTAAAATCTAATCTTTTCTGAACAATATTCTATAAAACATATGCAAAATTTGTATCCTCAGCAAAAATATAACAGAAAAACAATCCAAATACAAATTGATCAAAAAAACATTTTTTTCATGTATATTTTCTCTGAGGGTTAAATTTTGGCATACTGATTATGTTATAGCCCATAAATTGTACCTATAGTCAGTTCCATCTAGGATAAGACATACATCATTCTCTATACAAGTTGTAGCCATAATATTTTGTTCTTTCCCTGCAAATCTGTTCTCATTAATATACCTAAACAATATGCAATATGTTCTTGTGCACAGATCTTAACAATATGAAATATGTTCTTGCACAGATTTAAACAATATGCAATATGTTCTTATGCACAGATTTAAACAATATGCAATATGTTCTTGCACAGATCTAAACAATATGCAATATTTTCTCATGCACATATTTAACCAATAAATTCTCATGCACATATCTAAACAAGTTTTGTATCATTCACATATCTACACAAAATATTCTCATGCACATATCTAAGCGATATTTTCTCATGCACACATCGAAGCAGTAATATGTAATATGTTCTCATGCACACATCTAAGCAGCAATATGTAATATGTTCTCATGCACACATCTAAGCAGCAATATGTAATATGTTCTCATGCACAAATCTACATAAACCCTCAGCTCAGCTTTCTAATTTGATAAATTTTTATGGTCGAGTACGATTTTTTCTATGATGAGAAAATTTCAGGAATCAATTTGAGTAACAATTTTTAAAGTTTAATTTTAAAGGGAGTGTTTGCGAAAAATGAAAGGCGGTATAGGCTTAATGCGATAAAAAAGCGCTTTTGATCGCTACTAATCTTACTTCTATCTGTTGCGTCTATATGGAGAAAATTGTTAAAAACGACTAATACCGAATAACTTAGCGCCTATACAAATTGAGAAAATTGCAACATACAACTTAGACCGTAAAAAATCAATTTAATTTCAAACAAATCATTCAGATATTACAACATATAGTCATCGATTATCTTTCGCCACTTTTGTATATAGTTTATATTTTATAATATTTTTTAATTAATTTGTTTTGAATTTGATTATATCTCTTGCGGCTTGCACAACTATCTAAGAATGCCGCGGACCACTCACATTTTTCGAAATCAGTTAAAACTTTTTCAAAAAAAAATAAAATATTATAAAATATAAACTACATACAAATGTGGCGAAAGATAATCGATGACTATAGGTTGTACTGTCTGAATGATTTGTTTGAAATTAAATGGATTTTATACGGTCTAATTCGTATGTTGCAATTTTCTGATTTTGAATGGGCGCTAAGTTATTCGGTATGAGACGTCTTTAACAAGTTTCTCCTTATAGACGCCACAGATAGAAGTAAGATTAGTAGCGATCAAAGGCGCTTTATATCGCATTAAGCTTATACCCCCTTTCATTTTTTTCGAACACTCCCTTTAACAAGACCAAGCATTATTATGCACTCCATTTTATATCTTGTAAATATCTTGAAATAGTCTTAAAAGACCAATTTGTATAAAAATGAAGCATTTTAGTTAAGCAAATATTTTTGTGAAAATAATAATAATAAATGATAAAAATGTTTAACCTTTGTAGAGTTGAATAATAGGCTTTGTGCCATTTTAAGATTTGGTCAGCGCTTCCTCCAAACACCCCAGCACCTATTCTATCCACCTAAAGTAAAGAACAGTAAACACCCCAGCACCTATTCTATCCACCTAAAGTAAAGAACAGTAAACGCAATTTCAAGTGACTATAAACTTCTTACAGCATGGAATGTCCAATTCTCAATGGTGGCTTTTAAGGTTTCAAGGGTACCGTTGTTTAATAATTAATTAATTGTTTAACCATCTTTAAATGGAAGATTACCTGAAATTATAACTTTAGTCCCTTTAATGACTGTAGTAGACATGCATTCATATTTAAAGTTTCTTCATTATCAATAAAGAATTAAACAATACACTTTTTTATATACCTGCCCAAAATCAACATTTGAAACTCCATTTTCAAAAATCAAGTCATTTTCAGTAAAGTTTAGAACTTTCAGAAAAAGCACACCTACAGCAATTATTAATATGTTTTGACCAAAAATATTACTACTAAAAATATTATTAACCACAAATATAGCTAGCCAAAAATATGACCATTTTTAGCCAAGAAATATAACCATTTTTTTACCAAAAATTTGACCATTATTAACCAAAAATATAGTTATTTTTACACCGAAAATTTAACTAATTTTTTGACAAAAATACAATAATTTCTTTAACCAAAAATATAACTATTTTTCAACCAAAAACATAACCATTTTTAATCAAAAATATAACAATTAATTTAAAAAAAGATAATTGTTTTTTAACCAAAAATAAAATCATTTCTTTAAAAAATACAACCGTTTTTTAACCAAAAATATAAACATTTGTTATCTAAAAAAACATTTTTTAAACAAAAAATATAAAATTTTAGAAACAAAAATACAACTATTTTTTATCCAAAAATGCAAACATTTCTCAGCCAAAAATTTAACTGTATATATACCTAAAAGTTATTTTTTTGGATCAAAAATGCTAGTATTTTTGATCGAAAAAAAGTATATTTCTGTCAGTTATATGTTAAATATTTATAAGAATATTTACTATTATTTTTAAAGGCAAAAATATGTATCCAGACATTATTATCATAGGAGTTAAATATGTTCTGCAGTGTCAAAATTGTACCTGGGTTAGATGGTAAGTGATTTATCAGCTGCATATTGTTAAATCTAAATATAATATCATTTTGTAAAAAATTTGTCAAGTGTTTTCGAAGGTAAAAAACATTTTTACAAAATGTGCAATTGTTATAACAAGTTTGTTCTCATCAAAAAACAAAAAGGTCCATTCCAAATAAATGGGCAGTAATTATTTGTATGATTTAATCCACAAAGAATCTTAGCTAAAATTTTTTCACAATTGATTTTATAAAAACTGGCAAATCTTTACTATTGATTCATTGCAATATTTCTCTTCAGTTTGAAGTATTTTTTAACTCACAATTTACTATAGTGTTACATAATTAATGTTTTATCTAGGAGTAACCCTCTATTGTAAAAGATGTCAAATAATGATGATTTTTGTGAAAGGAGAAATATATACCCCCTTTTATCATAGTTTTGTTTATCACTAGTGGTTAGGGATATCACGGGCAGCCGTAGTACATTTGAATTTCCGAGCCGGGTCAAACTTTCTGGTCCTAGTTTGTACTGTACCTAGCTCTATGGACAGGACTAGCCGGTGCAACAAGGTTGACGCGGTCAGACTTTATGCTTCAAATAGATTGAATTTACTTTTACTAAAGGGGCAGAGGCGCGTGATATTTATAGAATCCTGCCAAAATGGGGCCCAAGCTTCCTCGGAAATCCCTGTCTTAGGATTCCACCTGGGATTCCTGAAACTAAGGTTCAAGGATCTGCACAAGATGGTCAGTGAAGGAGGAGAGAGTAGTTAGTCATGGACGAACAGGCTTGAGCGGAGGTGGAGCTGATCGTTGTGACCAAGATGTGCAGCTGTATACATGTTTACCATTTAACCGCATTTCTCATTATTTTATTCAATAAAGTATCTTGTATCTTGTTTTTGCGTTATATTTATTGATTTCGTGAATAAGTCCATCAATATATGCAATTTTGAAAATACTGTTTTTCATTAACTTTAACACTATTTTAAGAAACATGCATGTCTAATTTGCAGTTTAAACACACTGAAGATTTTCTTGTTGTCCTACCTGAAAATTGAAAATTAATTCAATTAACAAAAGTTATTCATTCAGTATTGACAAACAAGGAAACTTAACGGAATAACTCTTTTTCCAGATAAAGAAGTTTTACAGGGAACCGTTGTAAATCTTGCAAATCCATTTTTACAGGGAGGGTCACTTAAAATTATGTTGACAGTCCCATTTAAGGTTATTATTTTGAATTATAATATTATTAATTAAATAGTTTTACCTGTTATGTCTGATACATCCTATATCAACCCAAACAAAATAGTTTGATTTAAAAATATTCCATTGCGAGGCTAGTTTTAGAAAATTTGTCTTTTCATTCCATACCCAGTACACCTTTCTATATATATAAACATTAAAGAGACTCTGGACGTCATTTATGTAGATTCTGATTGACAACCATACCCTTTAAAATTTGGTCTGATCAAATCTGTCAGAGTTATCCTTTTTATTCTAACTGACAATTGAGTGCTTGTTCATATTTTAACCAGAAACTCTTGTAATTGCAATTACAGCATCTTTGATGATCATAGCTACTTAAAGGTAGTGTTCGCGAAAATTGAAAGGGGGTATGGGCACTTTTGATCACGACTAATCTTGCTACTATCTGCTACTAGTGTCCATACAAATCAAGGAGTATCGTATATAAGGGAGATGAAAACGACCCGGACCATCCTACCAAAATAATAGGTTATTGCATACATTGAACAGTGAAAAAAAGTAGGCTGAATAACACTGAACAAACACATTATTTTGGGATGCAAAAATATTGACATTACAAACATATTTCTTTATAATATAAAAAATATCGTTTTATTAAATAGGGTACAATAAAAAGCAAAATTAAAAAATTAAAAGACGACCTTTATAAACTCTTTTTCAAATGGAGTACCGTCTGTAAAGCATAGATAACCATATGATATGGCGGTTCGCATTGTTTCCATCTCCCTTATATTCAATACTCCTTGATAAAAATTCTTAAAGTTGCAACATAGGACTGGGATCATAAAACATTAATTAATTCCAAACAATTCAAGTATTACAACCTAAAATCATCGATAATATTTTGTTGCATTAGTTGGTAGTTCATAATATTTTTTATTATTTTTTACGATTCAAGTCGTATGTGGCAACATTTTGAATATGAATGGATGCTAGGTTCTTTGGTACAGACAAGTTGTTTTTACCAATTTTCTCCTTATAAAGCTTTGAAATATCAAATTAAAAATATAATTATTTCTTAAAAGATAAAACTGTTTTTAAGCAAAAAATCTAACCATGGAAATTATAAATCTAAAACCATATATGAATGTTTAAATCGCATATTAAATTTTTGAAAATTTTTCACAATTTACATTGTAATTTGAGTGCTAAAACGTTATATTTTATCTCAAAAAGTCGGTTCAAACCTTGTTTTTCTGAACTTTTCAAGATGAAAAAAATATTTCAGCTTAGAAAACATTCAAATAATTTTTGCTAACTTTAATATTCAAACATTTTCTATGTTAGCAAACCAATAGGGTTAAGAAACTATTTACTTGTTATGTCCAACATGTTTCTCTCTGTCTATAGTAGCTTGGAAATCCCAAATTTTTTGATCATATTCCTAAAAACTTATTTTTTTCAGGTTTTGAAGATAAAAAAAATTATGTGGTTGAACTGGGTAGTTAAATTACATCTTAGATACTCTGAATGGCTTCAATATACTGTAAATGTTGTAATTGTAACCAGCATAGACTCAATAGTATGGATGAAACATAGGTTGCCACGACTGCTGTTAAAACTAAAGTGAAGTTGTTGGTTGGTAAATAGGCCCTGATCATGTGCCTGCGATTTGATGGTTTAAAACCCGAGCTTAACACGAGAATGACCTGGTGTAGAAACATTGAGGCTTGTATAGAATACAATGGTTTTCTCCATACAGAGTTGAAATCTCCAGGTCAACGCTTAAAAACATGTGGCCATATGAGAGAATTTGGCCTGGGATAAGCCAAGTAAGGATCAGATGTGGATCAGCCCTCTTGTGGAGTAGAGTATTAAGAAATTCTCCCAACTCCTCATGGTGTCATAACAGACTATATGAGTCCTGAGAAGCTGTCAATCTCAGGGACAGAACTTCGGATATACTCCTATCCATGGGTTAAACAAAGGTCTGCATAGGAAACCTGAGCCTGTGGATCTAGATGGCTTTCCATCCCAGAATACAAGTAGATCTTAGGAAACCCAAACTTGGGACTCTGAATGGAGTAAAGTACAGGAAACCCATCACTGAGCACGCAGGAAACCCAACCTGTGGCTCTGGATGAAGAAGATTATAGGAAACCCAATCTGTGGATTCAAGGAAACTGTAGTAGCAGTATATCTACATGCTTTATTTCTTTGTTCCTTTTATTTGTTTCACTTTCAATGGAAATGTTAAACTATTTTGTTGTTTTTTTACTGGTGCAAGACTTGAATATTGTACCCCCCTTTTGGGTGGTTACTTTCTTATGTAACAGTAAATTGGCAATCAAAATCCTCAAATAATTGTAGGAATATGAAATGACAATGTTGCTGGTGAGAGGAGGAAGGATTTGTTCTGCTTTAAACAGCTGACAAGTGAGGGTATTGTCCTGCGGGATGCAGGTCATTATTCTTCATCACTGGTAGTTCTGGAATCCTGGGATGGAAGAATTTACCACAATGGATTGTACTTCAATATTGTAATTTATATATTAGATATCTATTCTTACATTTGTTTTATTTATTACTCAAATTCATTAAATTGCCTCATAATTGATTATTTTGCTTTCAGAAACTTTATATACTGGTTTCATTAATCTGGTAGACCAGTTTTTTTTCAATACCAAACCTGAAAAATCTACTGAGGGAGCTTCAGTGAGTTGTATTCTTTATATCTTCAGAGAAAGAAACTATAATGACTAATTATATATTCATATTTTAATTAACTACAAAGCACGTGATAATACAAATAAAAAATCACAATTTACTATGTAGTTTGGACCTGCCTAACCAGAGTAGGTTGTTTTAATTGTTTGGCCCACTATAAAAGAAGGAGAATTGGAAATAGATAAAAACATACAGTGTACATTTTAAACACAATGATGATGTTAAATATGGAAAAAGGTAAGGAGGAGGTGAGGGAGTATAAGGGAGAGGGAGGGTACTCAGCAGAAGGGTTGGAACAGAGGGCAATATAATATTTAAAGCATGGATATTACAATCCCTCTCTGTCCTCTCTCTCTTTGTTCTCCGAGTCAAAGCAAAATACAGAAACAAAGGACAGCTAACAGACAGTTAACAGACAGCTAACATTATGCAGGAATATGTATCATCAGACTCCTCAGTATCATCAAGGGATTCATCTCCTGTGGTTTATGGAACTGAACCACTAAGATTGTGAGAACAGCTATCAGAGCATAGTAAGGAAGCAGCTGGGAATGTAATGGAAGTATCTTCTAGCTGGCATCTGGAAATTTATGAACAGCTTGAATTCCTTGTTTCCCCCATCTTGATTCCAGCCAAAAGTCTATTCCAGGCTGAAGTTGGGCCTCTTTGCCATTTTTTAAGCAGAACCGATCCATTTGGGAGCCAATAACATGCTTGGATGTCTACTTCAGGTATTTCTATATTGAATTTCTGCTTAACTAGCTCTAGGCAGTGAGCAAAGATGGAAATTCTATCAAACTGCTTATCAGTTTAAATGATGGATTGAATCTCAAGGGGTTGGTTTTAGGCAAGATAAGATAAGGTTTCCCTTTAATTGTCTCTGCTTTGTTTCATCTAGGTCATCCTTGCTTCTGCTGTTTCATGTTTGAGCTCTGATATCTCCTTTCTCAGTATAACCACAATTTCAACTAAAAGGTTTAGAATTACCAAAACTAGATGTTTTGAGTTTTATTTCAGTCTCAAAACCAAGTCCTGTAGCAAAAAGCATGTAAACATGATATGAACCTATAGATAATTAGTGCTAGATGACCGCGCACACACACAAAAATTCAGATCTTGTCATGGTGAATGGTAAGAACTAACTTCACAGTAGTTCAGAGAATTAGATGCATTGTTCCTTAAATCCAAACCAACAATAAAACCTCAGTAAGCTGTGTTACCTTTATCATTATCAGATATTGACTGTCCATTGCTATGGAGGCAACAGTTTCTGTAAATGGCAGCGCATCCAGAGTATAATTAATCAGTTTTTATTTTCAACTATTTAGTTCAAATACTTCTCGATATCAGATTCAATCTCAATATTTCCTTTAGATTATCAATGAATTTAAGTTTAATATCAAAACTTTTATTTATACCTTATAAACATAGAAGTTTTCAAAAGGTTGGATTAGTATTTCTAATGGACGACTTGGATCTCTCAACTTCCTATAAAGTTTTACAAATACAGTGATATCCAGAAAAAAAGTGGAATAATTGTTGTCTCTGTTCTTTCTTTTTTATTATGAAGTCAAGTTTCAGATGATGTAATTGCTATGACTAGATTTAAAGGGACTGTAAGTGTAATTTCAAGTGATCCTCCATGCAGAGATGGCAATGCCCGATTTGGGTGATCAAATACAATTTCAAACTCTTTTTTTTGTTTTTGTTACTGTTTATTTTATTTTGGAGGTAGTTTCTCTGGGAAAGTGACTTGTGCATTTCTTTTAATAACAAGCGGAGAGAATATTAGAATCAAATAATTTTTGATCAGAAAAAACAATAGTTTTTTTTCATTTTAAAAAAAATTATTATTGTACATCTACCATCTTTGCATGTAGGTTCACTTTAGATTACAATTACATATTTACCTAAAAATGTTAGCATTGTCTGGTGTAGTAAAGACAACCATACAATCTACTAATGAGAGAAAATTGGTAATCCATTCAAAATACTCAGCTGGAGAATGCTTGCTGGATATGTTGTAATATGCGCTCACTATATAAATATCTCAGATATAAATCAGATATTTAATAAACATCATAGATTAATTAACAATAACAGATAGGACACTAGATGTCGTCTTTATAGTTTTAAGGGTTTTTCATTCTCAATAACCCTGAGGCAGAAGCTCAAAGGAGTTTTGAGCAGGCAGTGTATGTTCTCTCTCTGTCTTATTGTTCAACATTGCTTGTTTGGAACTCCTTTGAGCTTTCGCTTCAGTGTTAGTGTGAATAAAAAACTTCTAAATCTTTTATAGCTTATTAAATGATTTGGCAAATTTACGTACAGTTACAGGGAACAGTAAATGTAAGAAAACAGACAGTAAAGGATATGTACAGTCATCTCTGAAGTGTTATCATTTGTGGGTAACCCTTTACTGTATAAATTCAGTGTGTAATGTGTATGAATCCCTTGCATAAACAATTTCTACTTAGAAGGTTGTCTTTGCCTAGTTTCGAACATTCCATGTAAATAACTTTATTGGTCGAAAAGCCTCACTATGGAAATAAAGACAAATGGACACTGTCAATGCTGGGTACCGCTTCTATGGTATATCTGAAATTACCAAGAATATTGTTAAGAATTACAAAATTAAAAAATTTCTAAAAAGAAAATTTGGACAATAGTTTTTATTGTTTTTAAAAAAAATTGGTTTGAAAGATCTATTTTTTTGGGAAGAATATCAAAGAATTGTTAAGGAAGGATTCATGTCGTTGTCAGCAAATTTCCTATTTTTTCAAAGCTTTAAAATTTATTTATTCCTTTCCCTTTCTCGTTCCTTGCTTTGACCGAGGTACTTTATTTCTGTACACATCTCAAATTAATAAATTAATGCATCCTTTATTTAAAACGATTTTTCCAATTTATCTACGTTTTTTTCTCTTAGACTAAAATATATATTTATCCCTATGGTAGAATTGCAGATTGGTTTCACGTTAGGGTAGAACTCGATTTCATCCTAAACATTAAAATAATTAGAAAAAATTCAGAATGTTTCTGAATTAAAACATTTCCCCTTTTGTTTTATAATAGACAGTTAGCAAACAGTTATCTATTTATCATATTTATAATACCCTCTAGTTAAATAGTCCACTTATGCCTGGAGCTGGAATATAAGGGTTTTTTTGTCAGTCCACAACAGTACAGGCTTACTTAATTAGATTAACAAAAAAGCCAATAGACCCAAATGACAACAAGAACTTTGTGGTTCTTTCAGTTCGTTAACAGAATTTTCATCAATTATCAAAAATTTAGATCGTTGATGAAATTTACCGTTCATGCAACTTTTAGAGTATTGTGCCTTACTTAATACTCAGTCCATTGAAAAAGCATTACAAATTGGGAAACTAATTTTACCTGATCAACTTTCTGAAAGTTTCTTAGAGCAAAACTTTCTTCTTGGTAAGGTGTTTCATAACTTTGAAAATATGCCCAACCCTGAATAAGCATGTACAGTTATATATGTAAAGATATTTATATAAAAAAGTAAAAAAAAAATACTTACAAATAAAAAAACAAACAAAAATATGATAAGCAATGATTCCATTTTAATTTTCTTGCAAAATGAGTTTTTCATTATCTGAAAACGAAAAATGATAAACAACCTGTAGTTCAGTTTGATTTTTGCACTCAAATTGTGTAGTGACTAGGTCGTTCTTCTACCTATATATACTGCAACTAAGAAGAATAAAAAGAAGAGTAAAAGGCTTTGTGATAAAACTCAAGCTGATATTAAAAACCACTTGAATTGTGTCAGAGAAGTAATAAAATATGTCTAGGATTTCTTCTTTAAATGTTGAGCTCAATCTATCACTATTTTCAATATCTGTTGGATCCAGTATGATTCCAACTTATTCTGTGTTCAGCCCAATTATCAATGTATAAAATTTAATGACTCATGGTAATCTCTTGTTATTCTTATTAATAATCACAATAAAACTTTCTATTTTTTGAGTATCTCTCTCTCTATATCTTTTATAAACTATTGTCGATTTAGAATTTATTTATTTTTGATCAAATGTTGAAATTAAAGAAGTTATTAAGTTTAAGAATTTATTTTATAAAACAAGATGAGTACAAAATCCTCCTGATATTCTTAGACGCCCTTGGCCATTTAATCTTCCATAAATGTCTTTAGCTCAACATTTCTGTGTACCATTTATATATTCAATGAAACCTTTCAATAAAAAAGTTTTGTAAAAATCCATACATGTAATACACATACAAGTATTTGCATATAGGAAGGAGGGAAGGGGGGGGGGTGAAGGAGGGGAATTATGTTTCATGCAAAACCACAAAATAAAAAACTCTCCATATACATTCATGCACTGTTGAGAGGGGAGAGAGAGGGATGGAGGAGAGAGGGGAGGTTAAGCAAGGCTCATGTACTGCATACCATATATATCATATATGTATTGGAATCTTATCTCGCGTAAACCATATGTACATATAAACTCAAACATTACCTAATATACTCAATGGAACACGTGCGATTTTCATTCCAGGTACAAATCATTGTCATTATCAAAATAAATACATAGTATATATGTACAAGTATACTGTTAGAAAGGGTAGGGGAGGAAGATGAGGGGAGGGGGGCAGGGGGGGATATGTCATAGAGAGGGAGTTCTCTATTTCACTTTGATTTTAAAATTATAGGAGAAGGAAGGGAAGGGAAGGAGGAGAAAGGGGTGAGGGAGGGATGTTAGAATGTTAGATTGTGTTTACTTGAAACATATAAATGTATATCAATTTTGTTAGAAAAAAAAACATTACATAATCCCATACAGAACATAATTCTGTACACCTCAAAGTGGGGGAGAAACACCCTTCTTACACCACTGTCTTTAAAATAACAAATCAGGCTCCAGTTTGATTTAAGCAGTTGTTTTTGTTGTTGTTGTTGTTGTTGTTGTTGTTGTTGTTGCTGTTGTTGTTGATTTCATGAATCTATTAAGGTCTATAGCCTCCCAGGTTGATACAAAACTGTTGATACGAACAGAATGCTCCTCTTCCTTAACAAATAGCAAAATACAAAGACTACACTACAACAAAACTAATATTTTTTTTTGAGTGGCAAGCGTGATAGGGATGAGTTAGTTAGGAAAGCCAGAAAATTTGAGCTTTCTAGCTCTAATACTTTTGAGTTATCGCAAAAAAAAAGCGATAACTGGGGTCAAATTGACCCACCCCTCCCAGGCCAAATAGGGATACATACTATTTAAATTTTCTTCAATGTTCAATAACTCGTTAATATATAAACCTACTTTCTCAAGTTTATCTTCAATGTTTGAAAATAATGTTATTAAAATTGTCAAAATATTTTTTATCATAATCCAAAATCCCATTATTTAGGTAAAGCCAATGATACTTTTTAGAAAGGAGAAAGATAAAAAACAGAAAGAAAAAGTGCCATTTTTACTTTGATTATTATAGAAGATGCTTGTAATAAAAATCATTTAATCCTGCAAGTAAAACTAAATAATCAACTTCAAAAATATTTTGAATGGAAGTTAAACTGAGCCTGTATGATTAATCTAGTCTACTTTTTCTTAAGTAAGAATTGACGAAAGCTACACTGCTTTATGCATTTCTAAGAATTAATACATACTTTAATAATTACGGAATTTTTGTATTACTTTATTTTGCACAATTACACCTTACTTACACAAAGATAGACTTTCTTTCATAAATGTAATAAACACTTAATTTTGCGTAATGCTCCTGCATAAGTGAAAGAGCATAATTACGCGTAATTATGCATAACATAATTAAGACTGGAAACCCTAATCAGGGGTTGTTTCAAACGCATAAACAAATACCTACAATTTACTAACTTTAATTTTTTAATGTTTTGTTTACATTTCAAAATTGAATTTCTTTATTTTACACTGCAACACAGATTGGGCCCAAGTTTGATTAAGTCAACTTTTTTGACTAATTTTTCTTCCCATTTTATTGCATATATATGCTTATTGTAGCAATGGTTGCAACAACAATGTCAAAATTGTCTCTGGGGCAGTGGTATAGCGGTAAGATTTAAACAGACAGCTTCCTTCTGATAGTTTTCAAGAGATGTCTTATTCTGTTCACATTGTCCAGACTTTATACTAACACCAGGCTAAGGGAATGAAAGAAATAAGAAAACAACATTTTACAATAAGTGGTTGTAGTATAGTTTAGGGTCTCCAGCTCAAGTGGATTCCACTTGCATGCAATTTCAAGGACTTCAGTGCAAGTGATGTTAATTGTGCCTGAATTAAATTTGACAGCAATAAACGTGCACAATCGACTAATTTCCTTGCAGCACATCTCTATTCAAATTTTCATCAACATTTTTGACAACAAAATAAATTCAAACTTTGGCAGTGGCTTGCAATCAATTAACTGTCTATGTACATAGTGGTCAATTTCCACCAACCACTCTAATCACCCTTTAATCCCTTATCATTTTACAAATTAAACTGTTTTTTTTTTTAAGTTTTGTTTAACTTGTGAACCCAAAAACCAAGTTCAAGCATAGTTTTGCTTGTTTTGGGTATTTATTCAGAGTTGATCTTGATATATTCTGAGAGGATACACATAGTTAGACTAAAATGTGAGACCCCTCTTTATGAAGTTAACATTTTTGTGATTTGAACAGTTCTCTTATACAGTCTTTGCCCCAGTCCCTGCCCCCCCCCCCTTTCAATTTTGTACATTACCAATATTCGATATTTAACATCTAAATTAAATCCTAGGTTTTACTAATCAAGGGTAGGGGGGCTGAGCAATGTTATAAAGGTGGAGGGGGGTAATTGCCCCGGGTGCATCCCTCTTTTAGGCCTCTGTGCAGTGTGTCAAGATATTTGAACTACAAACTACAAAAAAAGCTGAGTTCTACGTTCAACTATAGATACAGTAACTTTTAATAGAAAATTATAAACTTTGCCATGTTCTGGAGCGGTTAATATTGGCAATTTTACAATCCCAGGTTGCCCAAGAAGTTGATATTGACCACTGTCTGTAACTCAAAACTATGCTATGCTCCATAGGGAACATTTTAAAAAATATAAAGAGTTGAAAAGAAAATCTTGAAAAAAATGGTGCTCTTACATTGTCGTTTAAATTATATATTGCACATTTATGCTAAAATTTCTGTCTCAAATGCTAAGAAAATTGAGTTTAAACATTTTCTGTTAACAATGGGTAGTCTTAAGTGAATATCTATACCTATATCATAGCGTTTATATTTTCCACAATTTTTTCTTTCAAAAATAAAAATAAAATGGACTTACAACAATATGTCGCCCAGTGTTGGCATACATAACAGTTCCAGTGCTCCACAATCCTCCCCACAAACCATATGTACCATAGGATCTAACCATAACTAGTGTTAACTAATTTAGTGCTGAAATAGTGTTCAAAATTTAAGTGTTCAAATAGTGTTCAAAATTTAATTGCTTAGCTCATTATTATTCAACACTGTTAGAAGAACCAGCCATAATACCAGAAATCTTGAAATTATGAACTTATCCATTTTTTATCAGTTTAATTTAGGATTTCCAGCAACGTGAGGAAATCGTTTCGTGAAAATCTCTTTTTGCACAAAAATTTTCACAAATTTTCGAAAAAAATTGTTGCAATAAAAATCAAAAGATGCATAAATTTTGCAAAAAAAAAATGCAAAATTGGCGCATCATTTACGCTTCTTTTTGAAAAATTCGCAATAATAAGCTAAATTTCACAAAAATTTCGCATTTTTCATGAAAGTTTTCTTTTACTGGAAACCCTAGTTTTATTGACATAGAAAGAAATTATGAAATGTCATTTTCTTAACCTGCTGAGAGTGGAATACTGCAGTTATTTAGTTTTTATAGAATAATCATATCAAGCTCTTTAAAATTGTTTGTGCATATTTCTTGGCTATTTTTTTTAAGAACCAGATTTAGTTAACATGTAACTGTTCAACTTTCCATGTAGCTGATCTACTGTGTGCAGTCATGAAGCTGTTCTTCTGTGAGCAGCTGTGTAGCTGTTCTTCTGTGAGCAGTTGCGTAGCTTTTCTTTTGTGAGCAGCCGTTTAGCTGTTCTACATGGACTAGCCATGTAGCTTTTCTACTATGTGCAGCCATGTAGTTGTTCTGTGAGCAGCTGTGTAGCTGTTCTGTGAGCAGCTGTTCTATTGTGAGCAGCCATGTAGCTGTTCTACAGTGAGCAGACATGTAGCTATTCTGTGAGCAGCCATGTAGCTGTTCTATTAGTAGCAGCCATGAAACTGTTCTATTGTGAACGGCCATGTAGCTGTTCTACTGTGAGCAGCAATGGAGCTGTTCTGTGAGCAGCAATGAAGCTGCTCTATGAGCAGCCATGTAGCCGTTCTACTGTGAGCAACCATGTAGCTGTTCTGTTGTGAGAAGCCATGTAGCTGTTCTACTGTGAGCAGCCATGTAGATTCTATTGTGAGCAGCCATGTAGCTATTCTACTGTGAGCAGTCATGTAGCTTTTTTATTATGAGCTGCTGTGTAGCTGTTCTTCTGGAGCAGCTATGTAGCTGTTCTAGTGTGAGCAGCTGTGTAGCTGTTCTTCATGGAGCAGCAGTGTAGCTGTTTTATTGTGAACAGCTGTGTAGCAGTTCTAATGGAGCAGCTTTGTAGCTTATAGCTGTCCTACTGTTACTGTGAGCTGTGTAGCTGCTTGCATGAAGCAGCCTTCAAAAGCTCCGTTCAGAAATTATTCTTATTTCTAAACTAATTACAGGTGTGTTTACCTCCAATTAGTTATATTTTGAATTTTCTTATCATGAACAGCTTTTTATTTCATTTTAGATTCTGCTCTTTTAAAATATGAATGTATTCAGTTTATCTCTCTCAAATGTTAAAATAATTTTCATGTCCCCTACAGTATACCTTGCCCAATATGTTATTACCTTAACCATATTTTTTTCTAGTTTTGTGGCTGTTCGTGTGGCTCTGGGGGGAAGACTTAGGCAGTGCAGAGATTCAAGTCATATTTCTCTGATATGGATGCAATAAATACTTTAGGCTCAATAAATGTTTATAGTTCTCTTGATATCAAGTTTTTCATCATCCTTTCACCATTATCATCAATATTCAGGGTGTGCTAACAGTTCACCCAATCACGTTTCACTGAAACACATTTCACCCAATATGATCACCCAATTTTTGGTGAAATGACACTTTACCCAATAAAGTTTCACCCAATTCACGTTTCACCCAATACTACGTTTCACCAAAAATACGATTCACCCAACTCATGTTTCGGCCAAGTTTCACATACATACGAGTTTCACCAAATTTTTTTTATTCCTCTAACATACATTGCACATGAATTTATTTACTAATTTCCAATCATAACTTATAAACTCCTGGACTGATTTGCCTCAAATTTGATTGGGGAAATCAGGAGAATCATGGAAATGTTCTGATATTGGTTAAAAAATTCTAATCTGTGTGGGTCAACTCATATATATACAAAAAAGCTGGGTTCCCGAGCTAGTCAAATATATTAATGTATATTGTTGTAACTCCACAACTTTTGTGCTCAAAATCTGCAAACCACATTGGAGCTCAACATGGCGGCGCAGTTACATGTAGCTATATATATAAATGTTCAAAATGAAGGATAGCTTGTCCAGGACCAAGCTACAAGAGCTGGTTGTAGTCAGACGTGCTGACCAAAACCAGTCTAGAACTGAAGATTGATCAGCCCGGATGGCAAATCTTAAGGTTGCATTCCAAACCTTCAATCCTAACTTCATCAAGGAGTTCATATTTTGACTCCGAGAGGATGCCTATATATACAACTTTTTAAAATTCAAAGATATAATTTTTATAAATTTGAAATAAAATTGGCAAGTTTTTTGAGTGAAATTCTTAAGTAAGTGTATTTTTGGCGAATCATGAGTTGAGTGAAATGTAATTTGGGTGAAATGTAGTATGGGTGAAACGTTAATTGGGTGAAATGTTAATTGGGTGAAACATTATATTGGGTGAAACATTATTGAGTGAAACGTTTTCGGTGAATCATGATTGGGCGATCTGTTACCACACCATATTCAGGGTTTATCCAGCAAATTTGAAAGGTTTTCTGACAGAATTGCCAATTTAGAAAAAAAAAATTGTTCTTTGATGTGATAGCAATACAAGAGACATGGGCCATAACAAATTTGAATTCCTTTACCCTGCCTTCTTTTCATGAATTTATTTCTAAAACCAGGTCTAGTTCTCAGAGGGGGGGGGATCTGTTTTGTATCAAGAGAGATTTTAAACTTAAGATAATTGAAGATTTTTCTATTTTTAATGAGTGCATCTTTAAATCACTATGTATTGAGGTTGAATTTTCCAATAATAATTCTGCTCTTCTTATTTCTCTTTATAGATTTCCTTCCCATAACATTTTACCCCCGTCTGAACATAATCAAGTCTTCCTTGAATATCTTGAATGTTTGCTTTCTAACCTCTCTGGATCAAGTCAAGCAGTTTATATCTTATATATATATATATATAATATAATATTGATCTCCTCTCGATTAATTCAAACAAATTGAATTCTTAATATTTTAATAAACTTCTTTTGAAATACTACTTATAAAGCAACACATTTCTCTAAAGAAACCAATCTCTCATTGATCAAATCTTATCCAAGTTCTTATTCAAAATATTTCTGATCACTGCTTTCCTTTCAGCCATTTTTTCCATCTTTTTCTATTTGAGTTTTCCACCCAGAAAAGTTTTTTTTTATTATTATTACAAAATTATTAATTTTATGACAGCACGTTTACTTATTTCTCCAAGACGTAAACTTGAGCTTGAGCTAAAACTTACTTAGCTTGTCGTACTGAACTCAATCTTATCAACCATTTATTTAGAGCTAGCAAGGTCAAATATTTTGAATCTCGACTTTCTGTGGATGGTAAATTTATAACTGAACCAATTGAAATTGGAAAATCCTTCAACACTGAAACATTGATCATTCATAAGTCAAAAATATTTTAACATCCTTAGAAACTTAAACTAGCTTAGACATTGATGATTTGAATACAAAGGTTCTGAAAATAGTTGCTGAATATGTTTTCAAACCTTTAGCCGTAATATTAAGCTGTCTTTGGAAACTGGGATTTTACCTGAACGTTTAAAAATATCTTGAACCATTCGATCATATTTAAGGCAGGTTCTATCATCAATTTATCCAACTACCTAGTATACCTAGTATACCTACTATTTCTAAGATATTTAAATGTACGTATAATTGCTCGGCTGCTTCTATCTTTTGTGGAATCTAATGATATTTAAAATGCTTTACAGTTCGGATTTCAGTCTGGGAAATCAACTGTTCATCCTTTAACCCAAAACCAGCAGGGGGGGGGGGGGATGCCAAAGGCAGCCCCTGTATTTTTTTGTCCTGGCACTAGCAGCATATCCTGGTTTTCATGTTCCCCAGCAGGGATAGGGTTAAATAAGATCTGCTCATATTTTTTTCATGCTTTTTAACACATTGAATATCATATATATTTATCCTGATCAAAATAACATGTAGTAATCAAGAAATATATAGACCATGAACTGCCATATCTCATGTGTCAAATCTGTGTACTGCAGTGGGAGGAGATAAAAACAAAGAATTCAGGGGCAACGCATCATTTTTGAGGGATAAGGGCCCAAGGGTGGGAATAAGAGTATATTGCTATTGCATTTTCCATATTGACCATAAAGCCAAAAATCATAAGTATTCGTTCTAACTTGATATATTAACTTATTTTTTGTTGGACTGTAATATCACATCAGAGCTTTAGTCCTTTCCCTTCAACTTCTGTTGGGTTTAATTTCTCCCACAGTGTACAGTACATAATATGAGTATATCTGAGTTGGGCGTTCCTGTATACAGTTCCTTGGTTGTAGTAATGTTTCTTGATCAGGAAACATGTTCTACATTATTGAGCTCAATACTTTTTGTTGTTTCTAACTAATTAGATTAACGTCATTGTCTCTGCCTTCTGTTCTCCATCTACACCACTGCACACTTTGCCATTTATGTGCTCCATTCATGCACATTGGGCAATTGGGAATTAGGGCTGGACACATTCAAACTTTTTCTAGCCATTTCGTTGATGGTTAATTCCAACTGTTAAAAAAGAAAATTTCAGTTAGCCCTTAATTTTAAAAGTAAGAACGGAACGTTCGTTTAGTTAAAGGCATTTTTCGTTTTTCTTAAATACCATTAGTTAACATTTTTAATTTCATTAATGGGGTTAAAGGAAAATTTTCAACAACCACTAACAGCTATGGCTGTTAATGGTACCGGTATTACAAAATCAATGGTGTTAACTGAGTCAAAAAATTTTGTTAACGGTTAATAAAATTTTTAATGGCACAGCTGTTAACAATCTATTGCAGTATTAACAGTGTTAATGGCAAAAAAATTTTAATGGTTTATAAATACTGAATACATCATTTAAAAACATCAAAATAAACATAATTTTTAAAATTTTTAATAAAAAATTTCATGCAATTTTAATCAGAAAAAAACTAAACTAACCGTTTTTAGCTTTTTCGTTTTTGTTTGAAACCATAAATTTTTTTTTCAAAGATGGCTTATCTGTCTCATTGAAATTTAAAAATCAAAGGTTTTTTCTTTTCGTTAACGGACTCTTCCTTTAATTTTCGAAAACTTCCGTTTTGTTAGTGGAACCTTGCCCAGCCTTATGGTGAACCAGGGGAGCTTGTGTAAAAACAACCTAAGCTTTTGTACAGCTCCCTGGCCCAGCCACAATATATATATAATTATCAGATAATTAATTAATATATGTATGTTTAAACTTATGGCCTAATAAATGATTTGTTTTAATTTGACTTGAAAACTAATTGTAAAATTGTTAAGTTGACATTTTAAAATTTCTTTTGATGTCTCTGAAGTTAAGGGTTAAACTGTGTTAATTATAAATTTACATTAGACAACTTAGAATCTCTAAAAAAAAACTTAAACATAAATTTGATTAAAATTGATAGAATTGAATGAAGATCCAAGTGATTCCTCTTAATAAAAACAGATGAACTTGCGATAGAATCTCAAAAATACCTGATCATGTGATCACATTGTATTAACATAAATAAATCTCTCGGGGGCATTTTATTATCTAAATATATATATTGAGGAAATACATAATAATGTAAATGAACATTGAGCATCGCATTTATTGTTTTTTACCCTAAATAACCCTTATATTTCATTTAAAAACGTTATTCATAAGAAAATTAAAAATTAACATTTTCAAAGTATAACCAGAGTTGAAATCACTCCAGGAAATCCAAAACCTGGAATATTTGAAATCTCTCCTGCAAATCCAATACCTGGAAGATTTAATATTTCTCCTGGAAATCCAATACCTGGAATATTTAATATTTCTCCTGGAAATCCAATACCTGGAAGATTTACTGGAAGATTTATATTTCTCCTGGAAATCCAATACCTGGAAGATTTAATATTTCTCCTGGAAATACAATACCTGGAAGATTTAATATTTCTCCTGGAAATCCAATATCAGGTTCTTGACCAAAATTATTTTTCAGCCATTTGGTGTCCTCACTTGCCATATAAAAAACAGTTTTGGTGGTTTCATTATCAAAGCGATTCCTAGAAAATAAATGTATTTTTCTTAAAATTTTTAAAAAATCAATCAGCCACTAAAGACAAAATTCTAAGTCACTCTTCACTAATAGAGTGGCATGTATGACTCAAAAGGTGCCCATTTTAAAGTCTGGAGAATTAGATTTCCTCATTTTGCTATTTGGAATCAAAATTTTTAATTGTTTTTGCAGAAACAATACAGGCAAATTCTCATATTTTAAAGACAGAAAAATAACAGTATTTTTTGAGAATTTACAAAATATACTCTTGACAATTTCCAATGGGATTTATATTTTTTACCTAAATCTCTGTTATTGCAAACTAAATAAATATCCATGAAATATGCAGGAACGGTTTTAAAGAGCTTCATATAACTATTCAATTAAAAACTAAATTTCTACAGCATTCCATTATAACTATGTTAAGAAAATGACATTTTATAAATTCTACAATGTTTCTGAAGTTCTGGGTTAAACAAGTAAAGACCTGAATAAATTAATGCAGTAAAAAAAGTACTCTCTCCACATTTCATCATCACGCATAAAATTCAAACTCTCCATCTTAATATAAAAACAGGGATATAGACTTTAGGTTAAACTTATTTTTAGTTCTTCAAGCACTTGTAATGTTGATACTGAATGTAAATGCATGTAAATTGCATGAAAAGAAAGGACTCAGTAAAAATATTTTACCATAGGCAAAATTGAAAATAAAAATATCTATTTATGCAACTGCCTTGTGTTATTATGGGGGACAATATGCTTTTTTTGCCAGGACTTTTACTTTTTTGGTTTGTTTGAGGTTTAAAGTCAAGTTTTTTTAATCCCAAACATAGTTGGGGATTTAAAAACTTGTATTAAAAAAAAATGATTGCAAAAACTGTGCAAATTTTTGTTTATGAAAATTTGCGAAATATGAAAGGAGCCAGGTATAAAATGTTACTTATTTACCTCAGAACAGATAAGAAACTTTTATTCCCAAGAGCATAAAATTGCAAGTAAAAATGCAGTCTAATAATTCTCCCAATATTGAACAAAAGCTATTTTTGAGAAATTTTTAGACAAAAAAAAGGAAGGTCTTATAAAGATGATATTTTTGCACATGTAGTAAAAAGGGTTAATTATCATCATCTATTTTCAACCAGGTGTGATCTTATTGGTTGACAATTGCTTTGATAATTAAACTTTTTGCTCTTGTGTACATTATTTTGATTTTGATGTTATTATTAAGTATATACTTTACACATACTATTGACATAGAATTTGAGTTCAAGTGTGTAGAATTTGCAGTATGTAGGGAAGAGTTTCTTTTCTTTTACTTTTGAATAACAATGTTCCATGGAATCTGGAGCAGGGGCATTACACACATTTCCTGAGAACATCATCTTTCAACAAGAAAACATGTATTTTTTAACAGGGGTTTATTTTTGAGTAGAATATAAAATAAAAATGAAATATTTTTTTTGTTCCGCTGCAAATTCAGTTATTTTTATCATTCCTTATGAAGAAAAAAAAGGAATTTGGCATACATCTGTTTTGAACTAAATTGAAAATTTTGCAAGCAAATTGAAGCAAATTACCACAATAAATGGGCAAAGGGTCATACCATGCCTATCACCAAACTTTATAGTCAATGTGTCAGATTTAGCTAAAAATTGCAGGATACCCTTTTTAGAATATATTAATGGGGGAAATTTTTGGTCATTTTAAACATCTGTTTTAAAGCTTTGAAATTTGTTAAAATTCATGAACTTTAATGTTTTCAAAGAGACTGCTATAAATTGGTAAGTTTTGAAGCTATAACAATTCTTTATATCAATTTAGAAACCTATGACAATTTTTTTTAAATTGGCATCAAAATTAGCATCAATATTCAGTGTTTATCCGACAAATTTGAAAGGTTTTCTGACATGATTGCCAATTTTATAAAAAAAAAACTGTCTCAAACTCAGAATTTAAAACTTTTTCTGAAAACTGGAAACGGACCCAAAAAAAGAGGAAACAGACCAAAAAATTCATTTTGGGGAGGTTTCCATTTTTTTAGGGTACAATTCCGTTTTGAGGCGTTTCCATAGCACCAGCCAAGCTGGGAGAGACTGTTAAAACTGATGATAACTGATGATAATGCAGGGGTTGAACAGACTGGTCATGGGAGAATAAAACACTGTAGGCTATGGCGGAGAAACCTCTGAAGTGCTATATCTCTACTCTGAGCAAATTTAGTACCATTATTATACTAAACATAGAATAAGTGCTTTGTGCACATCATGTTATTACTCACTACAGTTTAGGCTCTATATTATAAAATAGTTCACTCTTAAAAGATTGTATTCAAGTTCAAATTTAAAGAGCTTCAGATCATCTTTACAGTCTCATCCTTTGTGGGTAACCCTGTATTCAATATTCTGCCTGAGTAATAATTAACAAACTATAAACTAAAAAGCAAATAACAAACAATTTTATTAAATTTATTGGCTAACCCAAAAACATGGGGTTTTAAACATATAGGATGTAAAAAGCCTTTGAGATGTTAGTCAAAAACAAATGATTAATCCATGGGCCGATCTGTTATGCACAAGTTGAGAAAGAAATAAATTAAAATTCCAATATCCCAAGGCCTCCAGTTATACCCTGAATGTTCAATGTACCACATTAATAACTAGTCATTAAAATAATTGTTAAAAGAGTGAAATATGTTCCTGCAACCCCACTCCCCACCTCCTCCTCCCCACCATTTTTTTTTTGTATTTTGATGTTTTTCGGTAATAAATGCATTAATTTTTAATGCATTTTTTAAAATAACAGTTATTTTCTATTTCCTAAGGATATTATGAGGATGTCCATAATAACTAATGCAACATTCGGCGGAATAATATTTTAGGTGTGAGGATGTCCCAAGGACGTTTAACGCACAGCTTCTTACATCCTCACAACCTAACTTTTGAAGTCAAAATGATTTCACTTCAGAAAACCAAATGACCAAACTTTTTGACATCCAAATGACCAAACTTTTAATGTCAAAACTACCAAACTTTTGACGTCTTAATGACCAAACTTTTGACATCCAATTGACCAAACTTTTAATATCAAAATTACCAAACTTTTGAAGTCCAAATGACCAAACTTTTGACATCCAATTGACCAAACTACTCATATGCATTTATCCTACACTCAACCACAGAATAGAGACTAATCTTTGTACTGCCTAACCTAACACGACCTAACCTGACCTAACCTGACCAAGGGGGACTGGTCATGTTCTGACCAGTAAGGTATGCTGGCATAACCTGACCAATCTCAACCAAATCCGACCTAATAAGACTGGTCAGGATAACACCAGAATGAGACCAGTTAGGTAACCAGACCTTACCCAACCTAAAGGGGCTGGTCATGTTCTGACCAGCTTGGTAATCTTATTCAACCCGACCTAACCCAACCTAACGCAATCTAAGGGGACTGGTCATGTTCTGACCAGCTTGGTAATTTGACCTAATCCCTGATTGCGCAACTTCATTGGTTGCTAGGGTAGGTTTGATTTTTATAATTTTCTCCAATACAAACTCAACCTCAGGTGAATTTCTATGGAATTTGAATCAAGTTTATACTAATCAGGGTTTGACTTTTTTTCTGAAGCGAGTTTTTAATGAAAATGTTTCAAAAACTCAATTCTTTTTGAACAAAAGGCATGAATATTGCAAGACAAAAATGTACAAAAAAATACTCAAACAATAATAAGCAAGACAATTAAGAATAAAGTAATACTTCTAATGGTGGATGAACAGTAAATTATCAGTGATTTCTACATAGTAAGTATTTTTCTCGATTTGGATGCAGCTAAATTCTAGTTTTGCAAAGATATTATTTTCATATTTTTTGCACTGAACTTGTTTGTTTCCACAAATTTTACTTTTTGAGCTAAAATTTGGAATTCCATCTGAAAGTTTGCAGAATAATTGCAATTTTTGCAAAAGTTTGCTTCAGCTGAAATGGGCTTTCACATTGTTAAAAGAAAACTATAAACTTTCATAAAGTGACCTATTTTTTTGGATGGGGAGGGGGGGGGGTAGGTTAAAAGAAAATGCTTTTTCCTTAAAAGATTCAAGTATGTTGCTTCAAAATATTATAACCTGGGAAATCAAATAATCTCCTCTTCTGGCATGAACAGCTATCTTAACTATTTTCTTGCCAGCATACTTCTCCCTTAAAAGTAGACATCAATGTAGTTCAGAGGAAAAAAGTTCCTTAAAGTTCCTGAGCCCGCGATTTAAAAAATTCGGGGAAATACGACTCAGGTCTAAGCTGTCCTTGGACCTTATTTACGGCTTGAGCTTTTGGAAAGATTGAAGCTGCATCTTATTTTCCACAAAATTGAATTAAAAAAACCGGTTTAATATTCTATTTGGTGGATTTTCATGGTAGGAATTGGCGCATTCCTAGTTTTTATGAGAACAAGACGAAACATTGAGCCTTATTCTCCACTAAAACCAATCAAGGTCGGTTTTATTTTCATTGGGCTGAACTCCTTAAGTCAAGCCAAATATCTTGCAGCTGTTAATCACGTGACACAAGCTGTAGTTATAGTTCGGTCGAAGATTGGGTCTTAAAGTTGGGTTTAAGGAATTACGACTAGAGCCGAAGCTATTAAATCGCGGGCTCTGTTCAACTAAATCTGGCACCATGAATTTAAGAAATAGCTTTGGTGATAACCTCATCTGTCAAATCAGTAATCAAATGCCTGCACACTTTTTTTTAGTTAAAGGTTCACATATTTGAAACTGAAAATCTAAACATGAAATTCATGGGGGATAAAGTTCAGTTATTGATCACCCTGTTCAGTTCCTTTAATTTAAAATTAATCATGTATTTTGGTACAATCTTGGAATTTACAAAGTTGTCTTTTTCCACACTTTCGTTTCAAACGCATCCACCAACAACAAAGTAAAAATGAGGAAAAGATAAAAAATAATGTTTGATTGGTCAAATTGTGATTCATAGTGACAGTGTACAATAATTTTAGAAGAGAGTTAAACCAAAATACCTTACAATCAACACATTTGTCAAAACTCTAAATTGTAATGGTGGTCACTTATTTAAATTAAACAGTAGTATCATTTCATCAACCCTTAATAAACAAAAGGAAAAAGTATCCCAGTTCTACTTAGATAACTGGGCAGAAGTAGTTTTTGAAGATTATTTATAGCTTTGTTTTGACAAACTATTAATTTCAAACTGGTTAATCAAACTAAATATTCTAAAAACACCTGATTTTCAAAGTAGACTGTTCCATAGCTTCAAAAGCAGCATTTTGTATATCCTCCTGAAACTACAACCACAACTTATCAGATAACTAATATATTTTTCTTGAAAATCTTCCTCCCATCCTCTTTTTTAAAATCATTTCAGGTAATTGTCAAATTAAGGTATCATATAACATTTATTTTTGAATTTTTAACTTTAACAATTTTATAAAATAAAATAGATAAAAGTAGACACAATTTTGCATGTTGCTTTTGTAAGGTATACATTTTGACATGTTAATTGCTCAAAGCTGAAAACTTTACAATGAGATATCTTTAATACCGATCAATTAATTAATCTGGAGATTAATATCAAGAGGAGAACAAGCAATATTTAATCTGGGGATTTAGAAAAAAAAATTAAATCAAGCATTGATCTTGATATCCACCATTCTAGAGTTTTCAGCTCAAGTTATTTTTATTAAATGTTATGTCACCAGTCTGGAGCTTTTATGTCAACAGCATCTACAGGAAAAGTTCAAAATTGGCAGCAATTAAAACTAACTATTTAATCTTCTGAAGTTGTACTTAGTTTTTGCCTGAAAGTGATTTTTCAACTCATCTCGAATTTTATAAAAAAGATAAAAAGGGGAAGGGTATAAACCTAAAATAATAGATAAGATCATTGTAAATTCCTTTCTAAACAGGCAAAGCTTTTTTGTATTAACAAAGTGTTAGTATCACTTTTGAAACTAACACTTTGAAATTTTTTACAAATAATTAATTTAAAGGATTTTTTGTAAAATTTTAGTTTAATGCTTAGGGTAGTATACAGGGGGTTAAAAAAGTCAGGTCTATGTTAAAAAACCTATGAAGCTTGAAAAATGGATGTGTCACAACCCTAGAAACCAGAAGTCGTCCTAAGGACGTCAAGAGGACGTCAATAGGACGTCAATAATTACCAGTGGGACTTCCAGTGACGTCATATTTTAGGTGTTGAGGACGTGTTGAGGACGTTCTCACAATGTGCAAGTTGTAGTGTGTCTGAATAGTGTGCTGGGCGCAGTGTGCAGTGTGTTTAGGCACCAAAATGGGTAATTATATATGTGTGCCTAAATAGGTTAATCTGGAGCGTCTTTAACAACGCACTAAATTTTATCTAAACTAAAATAATACAAAAATAATTAACAATAGAATTAAATAATAACATAGAATTTGGTTGTGGGTTGAAGTTTCCTATGGGAATATTGTGAATCTGGCATGCTTTCCTGGGTGAAACAAAAAAAATATATTGATCCAGGTGCCATCTGGGCCTGGCAGACAAATTTGAAGCTGTATTCATTTGCAGTGAAAGATATGAAAGGTCTACCATAGATAGTTAGATAGTTAGTCAGGGGTTGAATTAATGTGCCAAAAACAACGCTCATGTCACTAATGGGTTAAGAGGAACTGATTTTTTTTCGCAAAATTTTAACAAATTCTAGTGCACAAGAAAAATGCATTTTGTGTCAATAAAAAAAATTTCATTACCTACATTAAGTATCTTATTAAACTCATATTTGTCAATATTTTCAAGAAAAGCATCATAGAAGTATTCTCCATACTCGTTCATTACTGCTATTCCTTCCACAGGTCCCTTTGCATCAACCACACCTTGAATTGTTTTAACAAGGAACAAATTAAATAATTTTAAGAGGTCACTGAACTGTTTAACACATTACAAGTGTTCACTGGCTCAAAATTTGAACCACTGTTTAAGATTTTTAAGAACCCTAATTTGAAGTGAGCTGATGCAGACATATTTGCTGACATTTCCAACTAACCGGACCGCCGCCAAAAACAGACTTATCAATCTGTTGGCTGAAGTAAACTCAGCTTTTAGTCATTAGGAAAGTTTAAAATTTGAAACCTTTAAGTTAGGAGGGGGGGCCAGAAGTCAAAAACAGGGGTCTATATAGTTTCAAATATAACTAATTTTCTTGAAAATTATAGATAAAAATAAGCCCCACCCCCCCACTTATTTATGCCTTCAACTCTTAAAGCAAACTGAAATTCCACTGTAACATTTTTCAATATAAGCTCAAGTTTTTTTTTAAATTATTGCCCCAAATTCCTATTTTCTTCTAAAGTATAATTGCTTTTGGGTCATGAAATGATTGAGAAATTTAAATCAAACCCAACTTGAACCCATAATTTGGCATAAATCACGAATTGGGCTGTAAAAGGCCTGGGGGGGGGGTGTAAAAAGGGTTAACATTTCTTAGGGGGTATAACAAAATAGGCAAACTATGCACGCAAATTATTAAAAATTTTGCTGCCCCTAAGAATATCCTTATCAACGCCCCTGCTGCAGGCCAAATGATAATTTATAAATATAAATTTTTATTGTGAAAAAAAAACTTTAAACTAATGTTGGTTCCAACCTCCTAAGGACTAAAAACTTTACTAATTTAAGAGATTGGAAATTTTTTATAAAATTGAATGTGCATGGACATTAAGTCCCGATTTATTCATTTCAGAGTCTATTAGATTCAAACATGTAAGCAGATAGACAATATAAAATGGAGATTAATCCTACCTTCTTTAAAAATGTATGCATCTGGATGAAAAGAATTTTCCATCATTTCTGCCTGATACTTTGTTAATATTGCTGATAAACCATACTATCAGTCAATCAATCAATTTATATGAGCTTTTAATTTTATTTATTTAATTTGATAAAGGACTAAAAAACAAAGATATTTTTTACATTTTATCAGACAAAATACAGTATTGGACTCGATAATTTTATATTAAAATGTTAATAGGAGTCACTTGTTATAACACTGATAGCGTCTTTTAGTGATGGGCATCGTTCTTAGGTCTGTTTTTGAACATTTAAGTTTAATGAATAAAATATCTTGATCCTATTTCAAAATGTTATGTTTGCTTTTATTACATCATGAAAATGTTTTACTTTGATCAAAGATATTGACAAAAAAAATTTTTAAAGGGTTATAAAAAAATTGTTCTCATTAATTAATATCAAAAACCGTTTTGACGAAAGAAAAAAACTTGCCTATCAATGCAAAAAAGCAAAGTTGATTACAGAAAATCTGACTTTGCTTTGTTTAAAACATCTCAGAATCTTGTAGAGTACCTTTAAAGCATAATAACCTTGAATATTTAAAAACAAACTCCAAAACAATGCACATTCCTCCTTTCAGTACATTTAACCATCAGGAGCTGAAGTCAAGTTGAGGAAATATTTAGATGCTGAATGATTAACTGTCTTCCTTAGATGTCTTGGAGAGATACTGAAAAAACACATTTTAAAGTAGATTATCCTAAAACTACAATATATAACTAGTACCTACAAACATGCATAAAATAAGCAGTTATCCAATTCATAGCTAACTAGCTGAAGTGGAATTATAAAAAACAAAAACAAAAATATATACATTTATCAAATGTTTATAATCTACAAGATTACTTGCATGTACGAGGAATGAGGTTCGGAGCCGCTATTAGCCATGATATGGAACCTCCTGCCTTATGCCTATTGCTACGCCTCCAAGCCACAACATTTTTATCTCCACTTGCTGTTCTAAATTTTTTTTACCATGTGTTGCTTAACCAATCAAAAATTAAAATATACATCTTCATAATAAAATTCACAGTAGTTTAAAGAATCTTTTAAACCACAAAATTCAAATATCAATTTATTTACTTGATCCTAGAAACCACGACATGTTTACAGGATGTTCATATGATATCATCAATTACCAACATGATGTCCATGTGACCTCATTTTGAAGGTGTTGAGGATGCTGCTGTCCAGTAAAATGGGCTGCTTTTTACATGCTGACTAACTTTCTTATTACGTCAAAATTACCAAACTTCTAACATCAAAATTACCAATTTTTTTATGTGACATGACCAAGCTTTTGACGTCATAGATATGGTCCCACTAACCTAACCTAACTAACGAAGTAGTTGGGGTAGTGAGATTAGTATCCATACAGATTCAGCTTCAAGGGTGGGGGTGGGGTCTCTCTAAAAACAGATGGTAGTTGGGGTAGTGAGGGTAGTTGCCATTTAGAATTACCTTTAAGGGTGGGGTCTCTCTAAAAACAGATTAAAGCTAATTCTAAATGTCAACTACCCTCACTACCCCAACTACCATCCTTTTTTAGAGAGACCCCACCCCCTCCCTTGAAGCTGAATCTATATGGCAATTACCCACACTACCCCAGCTACCATCTGTTTTAAGAGAGACCCCACCACCACCCTTGAAGCTGAATCTAAATGGCAACTACCCTCACAAGCCGAACTACCGTCTGTTTTAGAGAGACCCCATCCCTACCCTTGAAGCTAAATCTGAATGGCAACTACCCTCACTACCCCAACTACTGTCTTTTTTTGAAGAGACCCCACCCCCACCATTGAAGCTAAATCTGAATGGCAGCTACCCTCACTTCTTCAACTGTCGTCTGTTTTTAGAGAGACCTAGTTGGGCTTATTTTATATACATAGTATCAATATATGTATCAATTCACACTGAATCCATAGTTTAAAGTTTGATTCTGGCACTGTGAACACTCTCCGACCTCCCTACCATCCTTACTACCCCAATTACTGTCTGTATTTAGAGAGAACCCGCCCCCGACCTTTACTAAGCTCACCACCCACCTTCTGAAGGGTGCGCAGTTCATAGTCCAGAAACAGGATTTTATACATTCATGGCCAGACACCCCACCCCCCCCCAGCATGTTAAGGGTTTAAGGCACTGCTCAGGTTTTGTCCCGTTAGGACCAGTTAGGGAACCCAAACTAACTGGACTTAACTTGACCTAACCTGACCTAATGGACTGGTCATGTTCCATCCAGTTAAATAATCTGATGTAATCTCACCTATCCACACCAAATCTAACCTAAGTGGACTCGTCAGGCTAAGACCATTATGAGACTAGTTAGGTAATCCAACCTAACCAGACCTTACCTGACCTAATCCCACCTAAGGGGATTGGTAATGTAATTACAAGTTACTGTTAGGTAATCCAATGTAACCTGACCAAATCTGACCTAAGTGGACTGGTCTGGTGAAGACCAGTGGGAGACCAGTTAGTTATCCCAACCTGACCTGACCTATCCATAGATTGGTAATCCAATGTAAAGACCAAATGGGCCAGGTCATGTTCCAACTAGTAGGTTTTCTGGTTGCTTGGGTGACCTTAACTTGTTTTCATGTAAAAAGTTTACACAAAGTATACAATAAAAGCAAAAATTAAAGTTTTTTCACAGAAACTATTTTGGTTTGTGATATGGGGCTAATATAGTTTGATTTATACAAAATACACCTGTAAAATCATATAATATTTTGCTATCTTTCTATAAAACTTCAATAGTTATTCACAAGTTAAGGAATCTGTGAAATTTAGTTAACAAATTAGAAGTAAAATTTTCAATTAAAATAGATATCTTAAAGACTATTTTTAAAAACCATTTTGGAGGGTTGGAGAGGTAGCAAGAGGCGTGGAGACAGTTTCACAAGGCTTGGAGGGTATTCTGAATATCAGAAGGCTCCAGAGGTCATTTTAGGGTGCTCATGGCAGTTCTGCTTTCCCTCCCTCCTCACACCAGATTATCATCTCAAATGTAAACTTAATGGAAACTAAACTTTTGCCATATAAGTTAATCCCCTCAATTTAGAATTCTCAACCCTATAGCTATGAACATTCCCATGGTTCTATGGATTAAGAAGAAAACTGGCTGAACTGAATGAAAACTTACTAAAAGAGTAGCATATGCCATCATTACATTTCCTAATCTCCCATCGCAACCAGTCTAGAACAAAAACAGTGCAGTTTTCCTACAAATCATAAAAAGGCTATGTCAATTTTATTTCAAGATAATGAATTGTGAGATTGAATACAAGCCCTAGCTGTTTGATTTAAAGACACAAAATGCAAAAAACACTATATTTTTGCTCACATTAAATTAAGAGATACTATTACACTAAATGATATTTGTTGAAAACGGTGGCCCTTCAGAAGCCTCTCCCCCATTTAATGCATATGCTATTCTCCTCTGACCCTTCAGTTTGACCTTCTCATTAAGACTAATCTTTCTTGGATCTCTTTCTCCAGGTTTATCTGATTATCTAGAGAACTGTTAAATAGACCCCCTCCCGTCTGAGGCAGCAGCCATGTGGCTGCCTTTCTTCTTATCAAGACATCAATGCACTTTTCCAACACAAGGTAAATGCTACTCTGTGTCCAGGCATGACTGAGTCCTATTTTAAGGTAAACTAACTGATTGAATAGGGTTTAGATCCAGGTACTTATTTTAACTGTCCTATGTATGCATATCAAATTATTGTACCATGTAGTTGGTTCAGAAACCATATGGGTTTCCATCTGCTTCTGATTCTTACATCATTAACTATAACAATTAACAAAAGAATCTTCAGCTGCTGTTTTCTCCTTTCCAAGACAGAGTGATATCCGCCTCATTGATATTTTTGATCCATTCCTGCAAGACACTTGTAAGCATCATGTTGATGGCTTGAATAAAAGAAGTTTTAATCCACTGAAGGTTGAGGCCACATTCTGTGTCCTTGATCACTATTTACACACTCAGGCCTTGTCCACCCTTAGGGGTTTTAATTTTGGGAAATATTTCCCCACTTGGAAAAAAAAATACATTTTTTATTGTTTTTTAATTTTCTGGGTAATGTGGTATGATCCTAGAGGATTACTGGTAAGATCATAGTGCCCTTTAATGATCCCATCTGAGTTGATTCCTCTATTTACTGAAATACTCTCTGTCTTAATTTAGAGCTTCCAGTGCTCTAATATCCCATGAACATAATGGGGGTGATGGGGTTTCTGTCCTCCTTTTCTTTCCAGTTGCTCGTCCTTGTAATGTAGCTCCAGGTGGATCAGCTTTTCAAGGTTTCTTCATTTCTGCAAAACTATCCATATTGTTGAACATGTACAATGTACATGGCTGAGGTATGTAAGGCTTCTGCCTGGGTTTAGAATTTGGATACCGTTAAATTGCATTCATTGATCATATTTAACAGGACAGGGTATATAAAATCAACTTCCCGACCTACTATCTAGCCTACTTCCTTATCTACTTTCTGTCCTACTTTCTACCCTTATCTCTGACCTACTTTCTTCTCCATTTTCTTCATTCCTGACCTACTCTCTACTTCTGAATCATTAATTTTGCTATTCCCTGTCCTGTGCAGTTTTTCCAAAGATGCTGCTCTAGTTCTGGTTAAAGTCCTGCTCTTCCTGAATGTGCTTCGGGGTCTTCTTAGTGCTCCTATTGGGGCTTGGGGTTTCTTTTCCCATGCTTCATTGATGACAGGAGAAACTTTGTGTACTATTTTAGGCAGGTTGGGACATATAGTAGTTCTAGGCATTCTTTGGATCCTTGGTGTGGGTGATGGGTCAAATATCTGAACTGGTTTGGAGGTTGTGCTGGATCACCTGTTTCCTGAATCTGATGTACCTATTGATGGAGTCTGTTAGACAACCTTAGCTATTTTCTTACATTGTAAATTTGTGCAAACTTTCAATTTTCAATATTTTTTTTCCCTCAACTTTACCTGTTTTATGGGCAAACCACAGTGTTACTAGGGTTTCCAAATTTTTGTTCAATCTCTTTCATGAAAATTTTGTTCAGCCAAAGAAAGTGAGAACAAAAACAAAAAATTTTGTTTGAAATTTTTGCAAAATTCATCGAAATTTTTGCAAAATTCCTGAAATTTGTTGAAATTTTTTGACCTTTCATTTAAAATCTTATCTTTTTCACAAAAATTTTCAACAACCCATTTTCCTGAAATTTTAACCTTACTTTAAGAGATTTTTAATTGAAATCAAAGTTGACAAGTAAATTTGCTAATTCTAACATGCCTTACAATCCTTGCAGAAATATTTGCAATTGTTGCAGAAATATTTAAATATGTACCAAATAATAACAAAAAACAAGATTCTCAGTTATTTTAAATCAGTCATGTTTAGTTGAACACTCTGTAATACAGGGTTACCCACAAAGGATGAGAATGAGATGATCATGTTGTTTAGGAAACCCAGTTTGTTTTTACAGGGGAATATGTTTCTAGAAAAAATCACCCCTCTAAAAATAATTGAATTGTGTCACATTAACCCTAGGGTGACCTTCCAGACACTCCATTAGAAATCCGCCAATCATCTTGATGGGAAATTGAAAAATTTTTATTGAATAAAAATTGAAAGAAAATTTCCTGAAAATGAAAAATTTTGTTGAAAATATAATGAAATTCGCAAAAATTTCGAACAAAAATGATCGAATTTTGTTGTTTCATTTTGGAAAATTCATTTAACAAAATTTTAGTGGAAACCCTAATTCTTACCCTGTCTGAGGTACCAATATAGTGTTGAGCAGTGTCTAGATCATATTGGTCGAGTGCTATTTTACCATATATAGCTCCAATGAGGGTCCATAATCATGATTATGATTCAGTCAAGTGGGGGAGGTGAGAGGGGGGCCATATGTATATATAAATTATATTAATTGAAAATGGTGGTGCTTCTAGAGCATCTCTGTCATTTTAAGCAGATGCTATTCTCCTCTGGCCCTTTTGTTCAACCTTCTCATCAGAATTAACCCTATATTGGGTTAAAACATGGCAAGAAAAGTTAGGTGTTATAAGCTTCCTGATAAATTGGTTAGACCTTAGAACCACTTTTTTATGAGAGGTACAGTGATAACCAGAACACTTTTAAATAGGAAGACATAGTTCAGACTCAAGTTAAAATAGTTAATAGAGCACTAAACAAAGCGATTGTACAGTGTATACTTTCTCACTCCACTCTTAATAACATGATCAGTGTCTTATATAAAACTATATGCTTTGTAACAATGTCTAGTACACTTCATTCCTCTTCCAATTCCATTAATGTCTGGTTATCACTGTATGTTTATATTTTATGTTTATGTTGCTTACCATTAGCACCGATCTGATGAAAATAAATCCATCCTTAATACATGAAAAACTAAGTACACTCAATCAGCTCTTTTTGCTCTTAAAACGGAACGTTTACTGTGATTAAAATTAATTTTGAGATTAAAACTGTATTTGAACCATTATATAGGGCTGAAATTGTTAAAACATTTTTTTAAATATTAATTAATGATTAGCTAAAACTTTACAGAACTTTTTAGATATCTGTTTCTTCCATCTATATAATTGTATTTAGCAGAAAAATCAACAAAAATGACTGTTCATTAAAAATTAAAAAATTTATGGATTTTTACATTTGTTAACAGAATCTTTTGCTAAATCTTCTGTTCTTGCCAAGCCCTACCCTTATGGATTAACTAGCATTCATGCGGAAACCGTACTTTTAAATGAATGAGATAATTAAAAACATGGATTTTTTCCTAGTTTTAGGTCCACAGATGAGTTGTCCAGGTGGTCCAGTACAGTACAAGGTTTTAGTCCCCAGTAAACAACCTCCTGCTTGATTTACCTGGGGTAAAAACTTTGTTATTGATTCAGCTTTCCCACTTGATGATTAATTTAAGCTTTTGAACACACAGTTATTATGTTTTAATTTAATAATAATGATAACTTACAAGGCATTCAAAATTATGGTGTTCCAAGATTTTAGGGTTTTTTTCAGACACTGTCATCTGCACAAAATCATATTTGGTTAGAAATAACAAAAACTGTAAAGGAATAATATAAGTTGATAAGAAAAATCACTACCTACCTTTTTTTGGAAATTCAAATTCAAAAATGTTAAAAAGGATAAAGATAAAATTGCAAAGTATTTCTTCTGGAGCATACTTTTCTGAAAATAGATTCTCTACAGATGTGTTGAAATACATTTTAGTGTTAATAGAGTTTAAATGTAATTAACTTTCTGAGTAAATATATTAGAGTAATACATAAAGAGTAAAGGTGAGTCCAGAAAACATTTTTACCGATTATATGTGCCGATGGCGAAGATGTTGGTTAAATAGTTCTGGACTTTTGTGTTCGCCATTGGTTTATCAAATACTGAATGAATGAAGGGTGTACTTGCATACAGGCGGAATCAGGTAGGAATATGTTTCAAATACATTTCTCATGCTGTGTTCTGTATCTGTATTGCAAGGTTTTCTTTCGGAAAAATTTTCATGTTTGACACTAAACTATAAAGCTTATATTCATAGATTTTGTTGTTTGAGCTGATTTTTTTGTAAAAGCAAAAAATCAGCTCCTGTTTCCTTACAGCATTCTTCAGGCACATTAACCTCTATGGCGAAATACTTATTAAAATGCATCCATAGCAGTATGCTTACACGCCAAGAGAAGGGTATTCTAGCAATCTTCCCATTTTGAAAACTGAATATTTTTATTTGTGGTTTCTCTACAAAATGACTCGCGCATTTCTTGATTCAGAAACAATGGAGAAATGAAGGTTTCAAAGGTACACTTTTTAAATGTAGGGTCACTTGAAATTATGAATGTATTCCATATAAGTATAATTACATCGTATAGAAAAAAATTCTTTAAAATCTCACTTTTGGCCTTAACTAAAAAAGTTTCATTAAAAAAGCTTTAATCAATACTGCCTTCAGTGTAAATATATATTTGATATCAAATTTATTATACAATATGTATCAATCCTATGAAAATATAGATATTTTTCAAGAAACGTTCCATCTCTATTTTTCNAATTTAATGATTTGAATCTAAGATGTAAAAATGTTTAATGGGAGGGAAGGGGTGGAAGATGAGAGGAAGAGGAGGTGGGGTAAGTGGAGAAGGAGCGGTTCGTAACGACAATGAATCCTACCGTGTCGTTGTGTTGATATAACTTTATGATTTTTATTTATATTTTATTCAATAAAGTATTCATTTTGTGTTCATTGCGTTATATTTTTGATATCGTGAAATAAAGTAGTAAAATGAAGATTTAGTAAAAATTGCATTTATTTTAAACTGATCTGTGGAAGATACTGTCGTTTTTCTAGTGATTAAATTCTGTCCTATTTTGCCAGTTACTTTAAAAGTTAAAAATATGGATATCTTACTCATAATTTGTTGTAATATTGTAAAGCTTATAATTACGAACAAAATATTACGTCTACAGTTCCATTAGGAACCATGGAAAAATGCCAAAACTATTCTTTAAATTTTGATTCATAATCAAAATAATGTATACAATAATCCCTCTCTTTTTTATATCATGTTAACCTTTGTCATCAAATTTTGAGGGGACTTTACAATTCCTCTGTACACATTGCCTATCAGCATTCTATACTTAAACCTTTCTCCGCTTAAAGGGAGTGACCGGCTATGTAAGGTTGTTGAACTGAGTATGCAGTGTTGTGGAAAGCTTCTTTCGGATTCACTTGAGACATAATAAACTTTTTAAAGATCTGTAAATCCTGAGTTTGAGCGCAAATTCGACGTTCAAAACTCCTACTTTGGGGTGGATACGTTTTCTGAATTTTTTTTTTTTAAATTATCATATAACGACAGCAAAAAAGGTAAAAATTTTACAGTAATCTAATTATGTCCCACAAAAAATTTGGGCCCGATCGGTTCAGCCGTTTTGACGTTTATTGGATACAAACAAACAGACAAACAGACAGACAGACAGACAAGCCAAATTTATATTAAAATATGAATTTACTTAATTTTGTTTTAGTAATATATCCCGAACGTAAATTTACTTTATATATTTTTATATTTGCCCCACCAGACGTAAACTTGAAATTATTAGTAAAAATAATAATTTACCGAGAAATCTGATAGCTTCCTTCGACAAATCTTTTTAGAGTTGATTTGTGATAGTTTCCAGAGATTTTCTCATGTTTTAGTCACTTGTATAGTCCTAAAACCAACACCACTCTGCAGGTTCAAGATTTTACAAAAGTTAATATATTTACTTCAAGCGGTCATTTTATTTGCATGTTGTAAGAAAAAATTTCGAGGATTTAAAACAATGTTGTAGCTTTGTTAAACAAATTTGTGATCAACCTTTTACCTAACAAAATACTTGGAGCTTTGACCAGCTAAAATTCAGAAACCTTGCCGGGGATCATGTATACAAAATATAAGTGGCGGATAAGTTTTGTCGTTTATTGGATGTAAACAAACCAAATCTTCACATGACTATAACATTGAGTTAATCTTAGTCAGACAATAAAAAAAGTTATTAATAAGAAAAAATAGATATTAAGCAAAATTAATTATTGATTAAGAAGAAATAGATGAACACAAACTGAGATTTTGGTATTACTTTTTGAATATGTTTATTGTTTATAAATTTTCAAAATAATGATTTGTTACGAAACAATTTGTTATCTTCCTTCAGGGATCCTGGAATCAGATTTATACAATTCTAAAAGATATAGTACTGTCTTTCTAGAGAACAATGTTTGTTTTCGAGATTTATCTATGCGATTTCAATCAGAAAAAAAAGAAATTTTCAAGAACCTTTGAACGTCGGCTCTCGAAAAGATTTTAATAAACAGAATTTAGGTTGGGTACTTTGGTGCAACGAATAGGCCAATATAAATAGGGTTAAGTAAGGTTTGACTCCACTTTGTAATTATAAAAACATCAAAAACATCAAAACATCTGTACCTTTGAAAAATGAATTATTTTTTGTTAAAATCAATCATCTTCAAAATAAAACAATTTGAAGAAACTATGCTTTAGGGCGCTTCACGCCCCCTTTAATATTGAAATTTTCAACTTTTACTTTAGCTTTGAAAGTAGTCCTTTTCAATCATTCTCAAATTTTGACAGATTTTTCTATTTAAATTGGTGTATTTTTACATTGATGATTATCGGCCTTTTCTTCCGGGCAAAATTGTTCAACTTTGACAGACCATTAACCTTCCCAAAAGGTGTCTTGTGAGTAAGCCATGCTAAATTTTTGACGTTTTTTTTACAAACAGACAAGAAAATTATATTTATAGAAGTTGAGATATTAAACTTACGTTCTCCCAAGATTTCAGTCTGTTCTCGTGTTTTTCTGCATCTGTCAGCTCAGCCTAGATAAATAAAACTAATTAGAAGGAACATTTATAAGTATCATTATTATGAGCGCTATCATTCAACAAATTTACACCTATTTGCATATAAAATTAGGCGCTATGGAATTTGTCTTTCTATCATTTGTCTTTCAATTATTTTTATTACAATCTACTGTTTTTTTACAACTTT